CTCAAAATAATCTCAAAATAATCTCAAAATAATCTCAAAATAATCTCAAAATAATCTCAAAATAATCTCAAAATAATCTCAAAATAATTACCTAGGTTTACCAATGTCTTGGCTTTTAATAAGAAGTATAAAATCGTTTTCCAAATAATAAAGATCTTTGTTAGATGTAACTTTAGATATTCCTTGTTCATTGTCTTTATCATCTATAAAAATATGGTCAGGGTGAGAAGGAGATTTGATGCTATTTATTGATGAACTCATCCTACAAGTTATAAAAAACTCAATAGGGGAATAATCTGATGAATCTGAAATTTTGGTATCCCTTTTACGATTAAAATAATAGGAGCCATATTTTGGAGCAATGGTAGCTGGTAAAATGAGCCGAACACTATCGGATTCTGCATCGTTCTGAAGTTCAATCACATATTTAATTTTGATTTCAACTTTTTGGCGAGGCATAATGTTACCGACGGAACATTTTAATACATCTGAATCTTGTTCTTCAAGTAAACTAGCCCAATAACCTTGCTTGAGATTTAATAAATTTAATATTGATATACGTTAATGATATTATATTAATTATATTACTAGCATGGACCAGCAAAAATTTTTGATCACTGCTGGTGCTGTAATTCGGTTCTTTAAAAATATGGACCCCACAAAAATCACTTATGCTTTCTCCTAACCCTAAATTCTAACGTAATATAAAAATAAATAAATTCTTCTCAAAAATTTTATAATTTCATATAAAAATAGGTCCGAATTCATTTCAGCACTAGCAGTGACATTTAATGATGCCTGAGGATGACGAATAATGAAGCATGAGACTTTTATTCTTTCATGATATAGACAAATTAGTCTATATTAAACTTATTTTTTGTCGTTTCTATCTGTTTACTAATAATTTTTCTTTTCAGACATCCATATTTGATATCACCTGATGACACTTTAAGTTTCGAAGACGATCAAAAAGTCTGACAGTGGAAATTATTAAATATTTACTACTTAAGATTCCAAGTTAAGTTAATACTATATGTGCATGCTTATTTTTAGAACTGTTGCCATTTTTTATAATTGATAATTTCGTAGAATGGAAATCGTTATCAATTATAAAATTACCACGTCTTAATGCAGACCGATTAAATTATATAATAAATACGGCAATTTCGAAAAATTAAAGTCCAACATATCCAGAGTTCTCCTTAAGTTTGCTGAAAGTGAATAAACTGTATTTAACATTCTATTAGTCATCAAGAATTCGTCAATGCTCAAGAATTTTGCCAATGCTTCGTCAAACGAATACGAGACAAAACTTCTCATCATTACAAAAAAAAAAAGGTTTCTTCAGGCATCATTAGTGACAATTATGATTATAATGCAATAATACTTTGATAGCTTCATTATATTCCCTCTTTGCCTGTTCAGCTTCTTTAACTATCCCTATAAATTTTCTTTCATCTATTGTGGCTTCAAACCCGCAAACTGCCGCAGTGTCGTTAACCATAAACTTATAAATGGCCTCTATTTTGTCTTCTTCCAAGTTTTGATATACTTGAACAATATTTACTGAAAAAAAAAGAGTTATTAAAGCTGAGTTTATGTTCTAAGAACTTTTAAGAGATAAATCATACCTTCTGCTATCATATCAACGACTACCAGCATATATATAGCATATATTCGAAATTAAGATTATAGGCAAAATAAATAAATAATGTGATACATTAAATAAAATTATTACCACACGCATTGATTATGACTTTTTGCAAAGGGACTAGTTTATTATTCTTCTCCTCGGCAAAAATAAGCATGATGGTATTTCTTTCGAAAAAAAAAGATGCAGTGCAAGAAATTTAGAAACCACAATTACGCCTTATAGAACCAAACTATTGAATAATTTTAAGTGTAACTTGACTATACCGATACGCATGCACATGCAGATGTTTAATAACAGGAAATATTTGATTTCAATCTTGCATCACAATACGTATGCACGTACGTACGTATGTACATGCATAATTTTGGGAGATTTTGTAACAAATGCGATAAATAGATTCTTTAAATAGTTTTTTTAATAATAGATAATTGTGTAATCGTTACACAAAAAATT